AGAAACTAAGACTATGTTTATATAATTTACCAGCTTTCATATAGTTTATCTCTGAGAAAAATGGAAAATATGCTCCCAGAATTTTAAGCAGTAAAGAATGTGTTTCATGGACAGCCCTCTGTGAGGGAAGGGTTTTGCAAACATGAAAAGACTGTTTTTCAGTTACTGCCGTTAAGAAAGACAGCAGAAACAACTGCAGCAGGACATGAGAGAACCTCTTGTCCCCATTTTCATCATATAGGAAGCAAATTGGAGGGTAACGTAGCAGTCAAGTATTAAAAGAAGTACCCAACCTCTACCTACAGTTCTTCGGGCTCCATGAAACCATTTACTTCCCCAGTGCAACATTGCTTAAGGAACCGGCTGTGGTGGCACGTTGGTTAAGTGCTTTGTTGCTAACCAAAAATTGATGGTTTGAACCTATCCAGCGGCACTGTGTAAGAAAAGATGTGGTGATATGCTCCCATAAAGGTTTCAGCCAAGGAAACCCTATAGGGCAGCTACTCTGTCATATACAGTTTCTATGAATCTGAATCCACTCGACTCAATGACAAAACAGCAACATGCCACATTTGTTAGAATTCTTAAATCAGTCACTTAGGAACTTTAGGTGACCATAGTGGCTTCTGTTAGTCAATGCTTTTGTATTGTCTAGAAGGTGCCTAGCTACTACAACCAACTGCTCTGAAGGGGATCATATTAGAACGTCTCAGAGTTGGACAAAATGTGGAAGAAAAGTTAAAATTACAAAAACAAAACCAAAAAACTGGGCTTACTGCTCAGAAAAAGACTGGAGGAGCCAGAGACTATGGTCCTTGACCACCCTTCAGGTCTGGAATGGAGCTCACCCTCATAGTCCAATTTTTAGCCAAGCAGTAGATTAGGAGGAACAACAACATTAGTAATGCATGCTCACCATGGAATGGGCAGTCATTTAGATCAAAAGAGCAGCATTTACCTAAATATAAAGTTAAGAAGGGATGGGAAGGAGGATGGAATGGAACTAGGAACCACAGGGAGGAAGTGGGCTAACTTGTTGCACGGAGTGGATTGAGGTCATTGAAATGAAACAAAGTGTATGATTTGTTTAATGTAAAAGTGATGATCTTGTCTGTAGACCTTCACTGAATTCACAATGAAAAGTTACAAAATAAAGGTGTTTTTATCATCAAGACCATATTGCCTAATGCAACCTTTCTAACTTTCACATTCCAGTCACCTCTAATTATCAATGCATCTCGATTGCATGTGTGATCAATTTCAGACTGAAAAAGTTGTTGGTAGTGGTGATTGTTCAATGCCATTGAGTTGGGTCCAACTCATAGCAGCCTTATTGTTTACAGTGAGCGGTGGTGAGTTTAAACCGCTGACCTTAGCAGTCTAGTGTTCATCCTACAGTGACACACCAGGCTTTCAAGGCCCTTTAACAATCATAATTGGATAACAGGACCAAAATAGCTGTCCAATTCACTTATTATTTTCTCCACTGTGGAAGGCGGAGCTGGAAGATCATCCATGAGAAACAGCAATGTTTACATTGCCTGTTGGACCCATTCACAGAGTTGTCAACACTCACACCTAGGGACGGCTACCATGCCCTGGGACAATAAGTAGCAGACTTGAGATTTGAGACAGGAAATTGCTTTCTTCATCTTGACTGACTAGGCAAGTCAGTATGTTTTCCTCTTCATACATTTAATAATTGAGCTTTACCCAGGCCCTTGATCAACTAGCAACACTCATGGAAGCAGCAGTGAAGAAATCAAACAACTTATTGCATTAGGCAGATCTGTGGCACAAGACCTTTTTAAAGTGTTGAAGAGCAAAGATGTCATCTTGAGGACTAAAGTGCACCTGACCCAAGCCATGGTATTTTCAATAACCTCATATGCGTGCAACAGCATATGCTGTCAGAGTTCACAATGAATGCTCTTCAATACTTTAAACAGGTCTTGTGCAAAACTCTCATACTTCGGACATATTGTCAGGAGGGACCAGCTGCTGGAGAATGATATGTTTGGCAAGGAGCTCTGGTAGCATAGTGGTTACAAATCAGGCTGTGAACCGCAAGATCAGCAGTTCAAAACTACCAGCTGCTCCGTGGGAGAAAGATGAGGCTTTCTGCTCCCGTAAAGATTTAGAGCCTTGGAAACCCTGTTCAGGGTCGCTATGGGTAGGAACTGACTCGACGGCACTAACAACAAGGTGGAGGGTTAGAGAAAAAGAGGAAGATCCCAAGCAAGTGGATTGGCTAAGTGGCAGCATCAGTGGACTCAAATGTGGCAATGATTGTGAGGTTGTCCCAGGACCGGACAGTGTTTCGTTCTGTTGTGCATAGGGTTGGTATGAGTTGGTACCTACTCAATGGCAACTAACAACAACAACAATCATAGAGCATTAGAGCTGGAATCGCTCTATGAAAACCAGATCCCATGACCAAATAAACGCAGCGTTTTAGACCCTTTCCATCATGCGCTCACTCAATGAAAGACTCTGAAAAGTCCTGGGATAAGTCTTCTTTCACTCCTGTTAACTCATTGTGACCTTTAATTCCTTTGACCCGGACCCCATTTTTTCTGTTTGCCTTGAAACTCGGTATTAAAGGGTGAGGTTCTAGGAGATTGAAGATGAGGGGATGGGACCCTGGAACAGACAGGGGCAGGGTAAATTTTGTCGACAATGTCAGTTTGTGTTAAGAATTATTTGTTTATCTGTGACATCTGCTTTCAGTAATTTACCTTGTACAGTGTTGTTAGCATGAAGCCTGTAAAAATCACTCTGCCTCAAGTTTGGTAGTTTTGGTACTGAGTCCTTATTTAGTTTAGTTTTTTAATTGAATTGAAGAGTCTGGTCTACATGTAGAAAATGTTGTTGTTAAGAGCCATTGAGTTAGTTCTGACCTATTGTTCTTAAGTGCTGTCGAGTCGATTCAGACCCATAGGGACCCTGTATAGGGTTTCCAGAGAGCAGCTGATGAGCTTGAACCACCAACCTTGCAGTTCAAATGGCTTGCAGTCTGGTGCATTAAATAACCCACATTGCCACACCAGGACTCCAGTTCTGACCCATAGCGACACTGTGTAGTGTTTCCGAGGAGCAGCTTGTGATCTTGATCTGCTTATCTTGCAGTTCAAACCAACTTTACAGTCCAGCACATTAACCCACAGCACCATACCAGTACTCACCTTGTAAAAAATAATTTTGAGGAAAAATGGTTCTTTTTTAAAAAACTTTAAATTCTTTTGATTAGAGATAACCAGGTTACATAGTTGCTTTGGACTTGAATCATCTATTAGGAGTCCTGGTGTGGGACTGTGGGTTAATGTGCTGGACTGCAAAGTTGGTTTGAACCGCAAGGTCAGCAGTTTCAAACTCACCAGCTGCTCTTCAGAAACCCTATACAGAGTCACTATGTGACTCTAAGACACTAAGACAACAGTTGTATCTGAGTGTAAGTCATAAAGTATTGTTATTACAGTTTCAGCTCATACATGCACAGGTTTATTCCAAATAAAATATATTTAAGCATGACTCTGCAATCAGTGGATGGCTGTAGATAGGTTTTCTTACTAGTACCCTTGTCTTAGTCTTGTTACGGTGGGTTTTAAAAAAAAGATACTAAAAAGAAGCGTTGTGTGAAGACCAGCTAGCTCAAAGAGCTGATCTTAAAATTAGTCTTTTAATCAAGAGCAGAGCTAATGAAGATAATATTATGGAATGAATTATAAACGTCTTGGATCTGCCAGTAAAATACAGAGACCAAGTTCTAGTCAAAACAGTGGCTCCAGAGGGAATCTGTTGGGCCAGTTGAATTCAAGGCAGAGAGGTCAGCCCAGAAGTTTATGGTAACTGTGCTTTTTGGATTCCCAAAATCTTGATGGATTTTCTCAAAGAACACAGGATGATCTTTGGAACTTTTTATGAAGAAGTTTTTAAGAAATTGAAAACTGCATTATTGAGAAAAAAGCCAAGAAAGTTGAGCTGAAAATTTTTTCCATCATGACAAATGCACTTGCTCATTCACAGTAGCAAGGGCTGTCTTACGAGAATTTCATTGAGAGACCTTACTCTACCTACAGCCTTGATCTTGCCCCTTAAGACTTGCTTTTGTTCCTAAAACTTGAACATTTAGAAGTCCTCAATCCCTGTTTTGACAAGTGTGGAATTCTTTGAGGGATGTTGTTGTTAAGTGCCGTCGAGTCGGTTCCGACCCATAGCGACCCTATACAGGGTTTCTGAGGGTGTAAATCCTTACGGGAGTAGAAAGCCTTATCTTTCTCCCACGGAGCGGCTGGTAGTTTCGAACCGCTGACCTTAAGGTTCACAGCCCGATTCGTAACCACTACGCTACCAGAGCTCCTTTCTTTGAGGGATAGGTAGGAGAAATGGAAAGATGGTTTTGGAAGTGTATAGACCTAGATGTAGGATATTTTGAGAAACAGTATCTTTACCTTTTGATATTTCATTTTAATAAGGGTTTCTATGATTTTTGTGGAGTCCTGGTGTGGTGCCGTAGACTAAACACTGGGCTGCAAGGTCAGTTTGCACCACAAGGTCAGTAGTTTAAATTCACCAGCTGCTCCTTGGAAACCTATACAGGGTCACTATGAGTTGGAACCGACTCATCGGCACTTAACAACAACAGTGATTTTCGTAGCAATACTTTTTAACCTAATCAGTAATTGCTTTATGAAGATATTCCTCCGGAGATTTTGTTGGGTATGTTGCCCAGCATTTTTTTTTTTTAACAGCCCAGTGATCACTTTTAAGCATAGTTGTTATTATGATCAGAAGAATGAGGTTTTATTGAAAGGAGACATCATTGTTGAAAAGATTTCTGAAACATTATTGACTTACAGGAATAAAAATATTTGAAAGGTTTCTGAAACATTATTTACTTCAGAAAGCAATATTAGTGGGTCTGCTTCTCCTCCCCTTCATAACTCCTTCAACATTTGTAAGTGTCTGATTTTTATTAATGCAGCTTACTTTGTCCACAGAGGCCAGCAAGCTTGTCATGTCCTATGTAGCAGCTGTTTGTGGAAAAGGAGCAGAAGTTAATCAAGTCAAAGAGCAGCTTCTACAATCCAACCCAGTCCTGGAAGGTAGGATTCTCTGTGTGCTTCAGATTCCTGTGTTCAGGGGGATGCTGGGAGGAAAGAGGAAGGAAGAGAGTTGGGGCCAAGTTCTGCAGAGCAAATGAGCTGCATCCTAAGGAGGGAACAGTTAGCTCACATGAAAGGAGCTTTCCCACTTACTATAAATTTTCCCTTTGAATTTGTATTTAATTATTTATTTAGAAAGCTGATATTTGTGTTTGATTTGATGACTGGGAAGAACTTGGTGAAAGAAAGCAATGGGAGTGGAGTACTGTGTTATCACTGAGATGAAACCTGCCGCTGTTTGTCTCTGTTGTCAGGGAAACCTAGATTCGTTTTTTCGCAGGGCCACAGACAAACAGCTTTTACTTGACTACTTGTTGTTGTTAAGTACCATTGAGTCAGTTCCGACTCCTGGCAACCTTCTGTAGAGTTTCTGAGGAGTGGCTGGTGGGTTTGAAGTTAGCAGTCTAGTGCTTATCCTACAGTGCCACACCAAGACTCCATACTTGACTATAGAGCTCACAGATTCTGTGGTTGGTCATCCCAAAACACAACTAGAGATAGCTCCCTTAATGCATGGAGAATGGCAGAAACCATCAGTATAACCCATCTTTCCACTGCAAACAGTAAATCAAGTTCATTCCTACTGATAGTGAGCCAAACCTATCTATATTGTCCATTAGCACAGTTGCTGGGGTAGAGGAGGGGCTTTCAACCTCAGCACTATTGACATTTGGACTAGATAATTACTTGTTGTGGGTTTTGAAGGAAGTTTAGCAACATTCTAACTCTATCCTTTAGGTGCCATTAGAATTTTTCCTCCTCAGTTGTGACAAAAATTTCTTTAAGCATTGTCAAATGCCCTCTGGCAAGGTAAAATCACCCCTGGTTGAGAATTATTGGGCTAGAAGAGTACTTTAGAACAACCCTGGGCATTGTTCAAAATCATGGAAGGTTAATATTTAACACAGATTCTAGCATATCTCAACTATCGCACACTCCACCATGGCCAGATGGAATTCTGTCCCATTGTTCTTGGATTAATCAGGTACCTCTGAGTCAGTTCTGACTCATGGTGACCCCTGTGTGTCAGAATAGAACTGTGCTCCATAGATGCTTTCAATGGCTGCTGTTTCAGAGTAGATTTGCAAGTTTTTCTTCTAAAGTTCCTCTGTGTGGGCTCATCTGCCCTTTAGTAGCAGAAGGTTGTAACTGTCTGTACCACCAGGGACTCTCCATTGTCTTTGATCCTTGTTGTACTTGTTAGGTGTCATCCAGTCAGTACCAACTCATAGCAACCTTATGCACAACA